TGTGTGTGTGTATTTGTCTGTGTGTGCGTATATGTCTCTGTGTGTGTGTATTTGTGTGTGTGTGTGTATTTGTGTGTGTCTGTGTGCATTTGTGTGTGTGTGTGTATGTGTCTGTGTGCATTTGTGTGTGTGTGTGTATTTGTCTGTGTGTGTGTATTTGTCTGTGTGTGTGTGCATCTGTGTATGTGTGTGTATTTGTCTGTGTGTGTGTGCATCTGTGTGTGTGTGTATTTGTCTCTGTGTGTGTGTGTGTGTGTGTATTTGTCTGTGCGCGCATCTGTGTGTGTGTGTATTTGTGTGTGCACGCATCTGTGTGTGTGTGTGTATTTGTCTGTGTGCGCGTGCATCTGTGTGTGTGTGTGTGTGTATTTGTCTGTGTGCGCGCGCATCTGTGTGTGTGTGTATTTGTCTATGTGCGTGCGCATCTGTGTGTGTGTGTATCTGTCTGTGTGTGTGCGCATCTGTGTGTGTGTGTATTTGTCTGTGTGTGTGTGCATCTGTGTGTGTGTATTTGTCTGTCTGTTTGTGCATCTGTGTGTATTTGTCTGTGTGTGTGTGTCTCTGTATTTCTCTGTGTGTGTGCATCTGTGTGTGTGTGCGCACCTGTGTGAGTGTGCATCTGTGTGGTGTGTGTGTGTGTTTGCGTGTGTATGTGTGTGTTTGTGTATCTTTGGTGGCAATTTCTTAAAAGTGGAAATGTTTAGAATTATAAAGAACCTGTTGGTTCCCACTGTACAGCCTTGTGCTTCTGCTTTTTCTGTAAAAAATCATTGATTCAGTAATAGAGACAGAAGTTGTTCAGATTGCCACTAATGTGATGGGAGGGGGGGGCACTCAAATATATAAACACAAGAGAGAATACAGGGACATACTCTTGGAATCACCTGCTGTAAAGCCTAGAACTGAAGTAAACCTTTCCCGTGATGATTTCGTTCTGGAGTTGAAACCAACTTCCCGGAGCCTTGAAGTGTGCATAATATTTATAAGCTAGGGGGGGACTGTCATGCTAAAAATACTCCACGCGCTAGAAGCACATACCTCGGGTACTTGCCTTGCCTACGCCTTCAGTCCTTGTCTTAAAACAGTGCTTTTATTCCATCATGAAGCCTTTGGGCTTTTTGTATTTGACACGAGCTGGCGTGGAAATTATCTCGGAATGCATGAAGTCAGCCTCCTTAACTCAATTACCCAACAAATAGTTCTTTTCTCCCCTCCTCAATCTCCCCGTGCCTCAGGAAGAGGTCATTCAGAATAACATGCAAGTTCACTTAGAGTGTACAATGAAACACAATCATTCAGTTCTGCTGTGTCCCTCAGTAGGGGGAAATAGTGTCAGAGAATCACATGTTAACTTCTGGTGGGTGCTGTCATTATGAAGGCAAGAGCAGAAATGCAAGGTTTAGACTTGAAACATCGCCAATTTATATCAAATCGATTGGAAAAATGTTAGCATATTTTAAAAAAAACCCTAGGTGCTGTGAGCCAATGTGACTGAAATAAATACTTATATTTAAATGTGCTTGGGCTCCATTTGATAAGTGTCCTCATATCCCTATCTGTTTGAACGACCCCATTATATCCCCAAATGTGTAATCAGCCAAATAATTAAAGATAATGATTTTGCAGGTCTGTGGGGACTGGGACTAATTGGATCATGTCTTCAATGAGTCAGCATAAAATCTGATGGGCCAAATGGCCTCAGAAGAAATGACAGACCAAGCATACCGCAGACAAAACTGCTATGCAAACAAATAAGACTTGAAGTGTTTGTGTACTGAAATTTACATGTAAACATTTGAACTTAGGCCACTTGGAACCTGGACAATGTTGTGTAAGCATTTACTTCAAAACAGAGGGGACCATGAACTTGCACTTATCTTTTAGGCATTGG